TTCTTTCTTAAGCATGTCTTTATTATTTCTGAGAATACTATACAAATTAGGAGCTCTTTTGTAAACTATTTTGGATTATATTAACCTATTTATATTTTTTGTTCAATACTTTTAATTTTTTATTAATTTAATTTTATGTATTAATTTTTTGTTCAATACTTGCTTCATAATGTCCTTGATGTTTTTATTATAAGTGAACTTGGTGATTTTAAACTGATTTGTTTGGATTCTTAATTTTTTGCCTCCTTCATAACTTTTAATTAGCCCTTCTATTGTACTCTTTTTATATCCCAAGTTTAAAGCTATTTCTTTGAGTCTATTAATCTTCTTCAACTTGTCTAGTAGATTAGAGCAATATGAATGTGCTCTTCTGATGAGTGCACGAAAAGCAGACAGTTTGTATCCGTACGGGTCGTTCGAGTTAACCAGAATGTAAAGTGGACTATGTGTTGGTTTTATGTAAATACCCATTGTTATACAAGCTCCTTTCAATTGGATGTCTATATCCAGAAAATGTATCCATTCTTGACTTTTTTGTTCTAGTTTAAGTTTTAATCCATTATTGTTGTTGTTGATTACTTGTATGAACTCGTGTATTCTCTTGTTATTTTTCCAAATAATGCACACATTGTCCACATATCTTTTGTAAAATACAATATCCATTCTGAACTCATTAATAATGTGTTTTTCAAAGTTACGTAGAACAAGGTCACATAATAATTCTGACATCGGGCTTCCCATAGGTATCCATTTTTTTTTTTTTTTGTCCTATTCCATGAAGCTAAAAACATTACTGTTTTCTTAACTAAACATTTCTCAGTGATGGAAAGTGTTTAATGTTTCATTAAGTTTTTAAAAATGTTGCATTTGATATTTAGTTATCATAACATATACGTCATTAAATTGTTAATGGTGTTTTAAACTGAAGTAAAAATAATTTTAATTAAATTTTTCTGAAGGAATTTATATAACCATTTCATAGAAGAAATGATAATTACGCCAGGTCTTAGTTATAAAAGTGAATCTCCCAGTGAAAAAATAGAAGACCATGTAAGTATAAAATTTTACTTTAATATAAGTCATAAAATTCTAATAAAGATTTTAATCATTTTAGCCTTTAAATCCTAATCCAGAAAGTAAATGGAAAACATATTTTAAGGATAATGAAGTACTCTTACAGATTGATAAAGATGTTAGGTATGTAAATAATTTACAAAAAGTTATGAAAGAGCAATTTCAAAATCAAAACAAATATGAAATTTTTTATTATATATATTAAAAAATTTCATATATTTTAAAATTAATAAATAATTATTACCAAATTATAATCTGAGTATAAGTTTAAATATTAATACTCACACTGAACAACACTAGGGGGAATTAACGTTCGTGTCTAAAGCCTGTTACTGGTGTGCAACTCAAATAAAACAAAAAGAACTAAAAAAACAGCTCTTCACAAACGTTTTTGAACCTTAAACAGTTCTTCTTCATGTGAACTTCAAATTTCTGATGGAATGAGAGTAAATAAGAACACGATTTGAAATTCTAATATGTGTTTCTTGATGTCATCCTATTGGGCATGCACACTCCCACTGGTAGAAATTGTGGAGATTTACAAGTTAATGTCTATTAGTGCTAACCAGGCTATGAATAGAGTCAATTATTTTTAGTTGTTGATACACGTGTCAGTGAGGCTAGATCTGTAGATACAAATGGCCTCAAACCACCTTAGATGTTCAGTGCATAGTGAGGTGAGGATGACCTTCACCTGGTTAAAATCAGGCTCTATGTCTGGATCACTGGCATAAATGGTGAGAGTGGTGGTGGTCCTCACATGCTGAATGTCAGCGAGGTGCTCTTTCTTTCTAAACCCCAGGGAGTGCTTAGTGGATCTGATGTAGATGAGGTCTTTATCACATCTGTGATCTTTAAGTGGGATGCTGTACATTCCAGGAAGTCTGTCCCTGGGGGTTAGAAAGAAAGAGCACCTTGCTGACATACAGCATGCGAGGACCATCACCGCTCTCACCGTTTATGCCAGTGATCCAGACATAGAGACTGATTTTAACCAGGTGGTCATCCTCACCTCACCATGCACTGAACATCTAAGGTGGTTGGAGGTCATTTGTATCTACAGATCTAGCTTCACTGATACGTGTATCAACAACAAAGAAGAATTGACTCTGTTCATAGCTTGATTAGCGCTAATGGACATTGACTTATAAATCCACAATTTCTACCAGCGGGAGTGCACGTGCCCAATAGGATGACATCAAGAAACATGTATTCAAATTTTAAATCATATTCTTATTTACTCTCATTCCATCAGAAATTCGAAGTTTACATGAAGAAGAACTGTTTAAGGTTAGAAAATGTTCGTGAAGAGCTGTTTTTTGTTCTTTTTGTTTTATTTGAGTTGTACACTGGTAACAAGCTTTAGAGATATGTGTTAAGTTTAGATAATCTGATCTATGTAAATTATAGAAATTATAGATAAAAATTAATTTCAAAATAGCATTTGTTTTATTTTTATAAGTTTAGATATACTGAAGAATTTAGAATTATATCAATTAATTTATTGAAGTACATTTGAATAAATAACATTCACAAAACCAAAAATTCAGCTCATACATCAAAAAAGTGAAAGAAAAACAAATGTTTTCAATTGCCTTAAGAAAACATCTTCAGGTTAAAAGAATTGATTTGGGAGTGGAATGATAAATTGAATTTTATAAATTAAAATATGAAAAGAACGATGTCTTATTAGCAGTCAGCAGTTGTGTGATTTCATTGGGATTTAAAAATACAGTAATACCCCGACTTACGCTACCCCGACTTACGCGAATCCGGAGTTACGCGATTTTCAAATCTCGTCGATTCGTCTTTTGTTTGAGCGCCACGCAACTCTTAATTACTCATTTCCCCCCACACTATTTTCGGCTTACATGTTCGGACGTGTTCGACATATAGCTACAATTTATTTTGTGTTATTTGTATGTATTTATATGCAAAATTATACCCCGACTTACGCGAATTCGACTTACGTGGTTATCGCTCGGTCCCACCTATCGCGTAAGTTCGAGGTATTACTGTAATAATAAATTTCAAATAATGTCTTCAATAACATGTTGTTGTCCTTATAGTCAATTATAATGTTGTTTATGCTAGCTTTGTAAATTTTTAACATTTCAAGTAACTTAAGTTATGGAGGTTCCTGTGTATGGTAAATAAGTCTTGTATTGTTGATGTTCACATAAATGTTCTCATCTAAGTTGTATACAGCTAATGCCATTGTCATTTGCCTTTTATTTAGTGTATTGAGATGTCATATTAGTTTCTTATAATTAACCAGAGGCAAAATAGAATATTTTTAAAAATTCAGAACTTTCAAGAATAAAATGTGTTTCTAAGAACTGATATCTCAAGAACTTAAAACTAATGTAATTTATGAAAACAATGAGAATAAAGTAATATAGTGCTGCCAGTTTACCTTCTACAGAGTAGTTAGTAACTTGTCAAGTATTTAAAAACAAGTTCATTAGAATTGCTGATAATTAGAGATTGAATTAAATGATTAATCATTTACTTCAATCTCTAATTATCTAAAATTTCTCAAGAAATGAGATCACAGAATAACTTCATCTCTGCATTACTGTAATGAGATTAGAATGTCTGACAGCACAGCCAGACATTAGTTTTGGAACTCAAGTTGGCCTAGTGAATGGTTGTCTCTTTAATCTGAAAATATTTCTCTCGGTAGACTATCTTACAGCAAGTCAGGTCAATAAACTCTTTTATTGTATTTTCAATTCATATGCATTTCGAACTGGTTTCATTTTCCAGTCCCTCTTCAGTGCTCTAGAATTACAATTAGATATTGAGTTGACAAAAATACAAATTAAAAATTAAAATGAGTAGAGATGCCAAATAACACAACAGAAACATTATTACCAGTACCTGTAAGAACTTTACACACTTCTTTTTCCCGAGTTACATTCATACGGTACTTGTATTTATCATACGAAATTATTTTTCTTGGCGTAAACCATAATATGATTAAACAATGTCGCTATAAATAATAATAATACAATCATAAACCTATTTACAAATAAGTAATATAAAACCTTTTTAAAAATTAAAAAAAATTTTTTTAACAAAAATGTACATACAGGTTTTTTTTCTGTTATATTTTTTGAAAATATTCTATTAAATCAATAGTTCTGTGTGTAAAACGTAATATAATGCAAATATTGCTAAAAAATAAAAATACAATCATAAACCCAGTAATAAGTNCACTTGTAAGAGAAGAATGGCCTTCTGAACTGCAAAAACAAAGGTACTTTTTCAAAATTAATTCAGTTAAAATTAATTGATATTAATGAATATGAATTGAAATTAATTAAATAGCTTGTGAGGACAGGTTTATTATCATGTTAGCATGCAAAGCAGGTAACTGACTGTGTTGGCTATTATAACATCCATAGTATGAGGCAAACACCCATTTTTGTGTCCACAGTGATGAGTTGATTGCAGAAGGCTGGTTTCCATGGTTGAGTTGTAGCATGTGAACCATTCCTTCTTTGTGGAAATAAGGCTAAATGACTGCAGTGAGTAAAATAGCACAAGAATTGGTCAATGACAGAATGGAAGTAGGTACTATTGACTGATGAGTTAAAATTTAAGCTCTTGATCAAACCATAAAATATTTGTTTGCAACAAAACAGATGAGAGATTAAAAAAACTGTATAGCTCCTACAATGAAATATGATGGAGTAATATTATGGTATGGGGATGTTTTACTGGAAATAAGTTAGATGACATTTACAGGATTGAGGGATTGTTGAACAAGGCTATCATCAAATACTTTGTTGTCTTGCTGGTCAATGTTGTCTTGGAGATGGTTTTGTCTTTCAACAAGATAATGACCCTAATCACACATCCAACCTATGTAAGTAGTATTTAAAACAGAAGAAAGCAGTAGAGTATGTTGAAATTTATGGGATATATCTGTTGAACTGCTTGGGACTTTATGGACAAAAAAATTTGACAAAAGACACATCACAATATTCAACAGTCCTGGACATCTATACAAGCTGCATGAAATAGCATCCCTTCTACTTACCTCATCAAACTGTTGGAATGTATGCCACAAATTTGGGCAGCTGTGAATTAAAGCTCATGGTGGATACTTTGATGAAATTAAAGTGCAATAGTTTAAATGTATTAGCTATTGACACATGTAAAAACTTGAAGTAGTCACAATAAATTAACTAATTTAAGTTACCATGTATTTTATTGCTGATTTTAACCATTCTTCCTCCAACTGGCTCTATAGGTTTTAGTGCTTTAGTTTGAAAACACCCTAAGCAAATATCAGTCACTCAAGGTCACTAGAAATATATTATTTTAAAAATTTGCCAAAAATTCAATTTTTATTGTACAGTTATGGAAAAAGTTGTTACTGTGTATTTTATCACTGATTTTAAGCTTTATCAGTAGTGTATATTTTATTATTAATATATATGTTGTGGTTAAATCATTAAATCTGGTGAATATGGTTGGTGTGATAGCACCTCCCATCTAAGTTATAACAGTTTCTGATGAGTTACCAAACTTGTGTGAAATTTGACATTATCATGGTAAAACACTACACTTGTTTTGTTGATCAACTCTGGCCACCTTTTGTTTACTCGATGGCAGTACACTTTCGAATCAATTGTTAAATTGTCTGGTAAAAGCTCCAAAAACAAAATTTCCTTAAAATCCCACAAAAGATAGCATCTCTCTAAGAACATGTGGAACCCATATATTGAGCTTTGAAACAAAATCAATTTGTTTCAAGTAATCATAAGCAGTTCAATTTGACAGATTTAATCTCTTAGTGATTTCATGTGTTGTTATTTGGCAGTTTGCTTCAATCAGTACCTTTATTTTGTTTTCATTGCCTTCAACTGGCCATCCAGAGAACATGGTGCATCTTCAATATTGAAATTGCCAGAACGAAATTTTGTAAACCAGTTTTGGCACTGTCTTTCTCTCAACACATCATTTCCATGCATGTACCACAATTTTTTTCTTGCTTGAACAGCGTTTCGATTTTTTGGTAATAAAAAAGCAAAATATGCCAAAAGTGATGCTTTCGACCTTCCATATTTGATGGGATGCAAGAAATAAACAATTGCACAAAATTAAACAAAATTTTTTACAAATAAGCCTTAAAATGCTAGCTGTCAAAATATATAATGATATTGATAATACAGTTTAGAATGAAAATAGTGGGAAAAATACGACTAATCCCTCTAGTGGTAAAAAAAATGAACTTACTTTCTGAACAACCCAATAATTCAGCAAGTTTTGGTCCCATCTTTGATCCCCATACTAACCCCATCGGTTTGTCTATAAAAATTATCATATACTTCAAAATAATTTCTTTTATATGTTAATAGTGATATATTGAAAAAAAACAGGTGTAGTCTATAAAATCAACTGTAATTGCCAAAAATCCAAAAAATTACATAGGTGAAACAGGACGAGCTTTAGAAATACGGATCAAAGAACATGAAGCAGCCATTAGATTAAAATATAACAACTCCCCTTGGTATAACCATATTAAAAATAGTAACTGTAATATTGATAGAAATAATATTAAAATTCTACATGTAGAGAAAAATATATATAAAAGAAAATTTAAAGAACATATTGAAATTGTAAAACATAGTAACAATAATCTTGTAAATATCTCTAATGGAATGCAAATTGAACAACAATGGTACAAAATTNTATATTATTTTAAAAATTTGCCAAAAATTCAATTTTTATTGTACAGTTATGGAAAAAGTTGTTACTGTGTATTTTATCACTGATTTTAAGCTTTATCTATATGTTGTGGTTAAATCATTAAATCTGGTGAATATGCACAATCATTGGATATTCTTCATAATCAAGTTTTGGTGAAAGTGATAAATTATTTGTTTTTTGTAAAATTAATTATATTAACCTGTCATTATGAACAATAACCAGCACCCTCTGAATAAAATAATAAATCTCACATTTTTGCAAGTTTGAACTTGTCTATTGTACATCATGCCTCATACATATGGATAAATGTGACAAGAAAGATGGACAAATAGAGAACAGTGATGAGGATGATGAACAAGTAGAGGATGGAGACAGAGCTATGAAGGGCAGTTCAGGACAGAATGTTATGCTGATAAGATCAACATTATTAAGAAAAAGAGATGCCAGAAGTGCATTGCAGTCTCAGGCAAAGATCAGATAAACATCTCACAAAGTTTCCAAGGGAAAAAATTGGAGGTAATATTAAACTGCAAGTTCCTTATGTCTTCAGTGGAAGTCTGACTCCAGGAACATTCTGGGAATCATTTTGTAGATAGATGAGATTGGCACTAAAAAAGGCTGATTGACTCAAAAGTATTCAAGGAACCAGTTTGTCATTTGTTCACTTTGGGAATGTTTTCTTGTAAAATCAATGTTATTGTGTCTCTTCACAAAAATGCCAGAAAATTGCCTCAAGGATACAAGAGATGCAACTGAAAGAAAAAATGCCTTTTGACAAAATGTAACTGCAAAAGACATAGAATACTCTATAATTTGAAATTTCATGACACTTCGCTCTGTTCCAACAAGTAGGAGGTTGTCCATTAAAAATCATAAGAATAAAAAGATTGTGTACTTTTTAATTTATTAATTGAGTCAAAAAGGTTAAAATACATGCAATTAATTATTTTCATTGGTTATTCTACATAATAACCATTGAAAATAATTAATTGCATGTATTTTATCACATTAACCACAAATATTGATTATTTTGTAAAATAACTAGTGATAATACATAGTAACCAATTTATTATATTAAACACAACATATACTTAATGGAACATTAAAAACCTTCCATCACTGAGAAATGTTTATTTAATAAAACACTAATATTTTCAGCCTCATGGAATAGGCCAGCCTCAGGTATAAATGAGTTCAAATGTATTGTAAAACTGTAACAATGGAATGTTCAAACATTATACATTCAAATTTAAAACGAAAATAATAAATAAATTAACAAATAAATAACAAAATAAAATAAAAATAAAATAAAATAAAATGTACTAAATACACTGAAGCAACAACGATATAAATGATAAAATAAAATAAATACATAAAAATGCATCAAAATATTAATATAAGGGCAGGTATGGACTAAGAATTCTTATATATTAATTTTTCTTTTATGTAAAATTTCCAGGCAGAAGCTAATCCATCCACATCTCTGGCATTAATACAACCATCCTTTAATTTACTTTTATATAATTCAATTTTTTCTTTGTGCAAAGCTAATGATGGGGAATGCATGGTTTTGAGGATAATTGCTTCACTCCATTTAACTACAGAGTCCTCTGCTTGTGCCATACTTGACAAAACTGTGTTGCAGTGCCCTTTATTAATGTCATACTTGTGTTCCTTAAGTCTAGTAACTAAATTCCTTCTTGTGACTTCAATATAGTCGTTCTTAATTCCTAATTTCTGATTTTTAAAAGGAATTCTATATATGCCCGCTTTTTTTTCTTTCTTAAGCATGTCTTTATTATTTCTGAGAATACTATACAAATTAGGAGCTCTTTTGTAAACTATTTTGGATTATATTAACCTATTTATATTTTTTGTTCAATACTTTTAATTTTTTATTAATTTAATTTTATGTATTAATTTTTTGTTCAATACTTGCTTCATAATGTCCTTGATGTTTTTATTATAAGTGAACTTGGTGATTTTAAACTGATTTGTTTGGATTCTTAATTTTTTGCCTCCTTCATAACTTTTAATTAGCCCTTCTATTGTACTCTTTTTATATCCCAAGTTTAAAGCTATTTCTTTGAGTCTATTAATCTTCTTCAACTTGTCTAGTAGATTAGAGCAATATGAATGTGCTCTTCTGATGAGTGCACGAAAAGCAGACAGTTTGTATCCGTACGGGTCGTTCGAGTTAACCAGAATGTAAAGTGGACTATGTGTTGGTTTTATGTAAATACCCATTGTTATACAAGCTCCTTTCAATTGGATGTCTATATCCAGAAAATGTATCCATTCTTGACTTTTTTGTTCTAGTTTAAGTTTTAATCCATTATTGTTGTTGTTGATTACTTGTATGAACTCGTGTATTCTCTTGTTATTTTTCCAAATAATGCACACATTGTCCACATATCTTTTGTAAAATACAATATCCATTCTGAACTCATTAATAATGTGTTTTTCAAAGTTACGTAGAACAAGGTCACATAATAATTCTGACATCGGGCTTCCCATAGGTATCCATTTTTTTTTTTTTTTTTGTCCTATTCCATGAAGCTAAAAACATTACTGTTTTCTTAACTAAACATTTCTCAGTGATGGAAAGTGTTTAATGTTTCATTAAGTTTTTAAAAATGTTGCATTTGATATTTAGTTATCATAACATATACGTCATTAAATTGTTAATGGTGTTTTAAACTGAAGTAAAAATAATTTTAATTAAATTTTTCTGAAGGAATTTATATAACCATTTCATAGAAGAAATGATAATTACGCCAGGTCTTAGTTATAAAAGTGAATCTCCCAGTGAAAAAATAGAAGACCATGTAAGTATAAAATTTTACTTTAATATAAGTCATAAAATTCTAATAAAGATTTTAATCATTTTAGCCTTTAAATCCTAATCCAGAAAGTAAATGGAAAACATATTTTAAGGATAATGAAGTACTCTTACAGATTGATAAAGATGTTAGGTATGTAAATAATTTACAAAAAGTTATGAAAGAGCAATTTCAAAATCAAAACAAATATGAAATTTTTTATTATATATATTAAAAAATTTCATATATTTTAAAATTAATAAATAATTATTACCAAATTATAATCTGAGTATAAGTTTAAATATTAATACTCACACTGAACAACACTAGGGGGAATTAACGTTCGTGTCTAAAGCCTGTTACTGGTGTGCAACTCAAATAAAACAAAAAGAACTAAAAAAACAGCTCTTCACAAACGTTTTTGAACCTTAAACAGTTCTTCTTCATGTGAACTTCAAATTTCTGATGGAATGAGAGTAAATAAGAACACGATTTGAAATTCTAATATGTGTTTCTTGATGTCATCCTATTGGGCATGCACACTCCTACTGGTAGAAATTGTGGAGATTTACAAGTTAATGTCTATTAGTGCTAACCAGGCTATGAATAGAGTCAATTATTTTTAGTTGTTGATACACGTGTCAGTGAGGCTAGATCTGTAGATACAAATGGCCTCAAACCACCTTAGATGTTCAGTGCATAGTGAGGTGAGGATGACCTTCACCTGGTTAAAATCAGGCTCTATGTCTGGATCACTGGCATAAATGGTGAGAGTGGTGGTGGTCCTCACATGCTGAATGTCAGCGAGGTGCTCTTTCTTTCTAAACCCCAGGGAGTGCTTAGTGGATCTGATGTAGATGAGGTCTTTATCACATCTGTGATCTTTAAGTGGGATGCTGTACATTCCAGGAAGTCTGTCCCTGGGGGTTAGAAAGAAAGAGCACCTTGCTGACATACAGCATGCGAGGACCATCACCGCTCTCACCGTTTATGCCAGTGATCCAGACATAGAGACTGATTTTAACCAGGTGGTCATCCTCACCTCACCATGCACTGAACATCTAAGGTGGTTGGAGGTCATTTGTATCTACAGATCTAGCTTCACTGATACGTGTATCAACAACAAAGAAGAATTGACTCTGTTCATAGCTTGATTAGCGCTAATGGACATTGACTTATAAATCCACAATTTCTACCAGCGGGAGTGCACGTGCCCAATAGGATGACATCAAGAAACATGTATTCAAATTTTAAATCATATTCTTATTTACTCTCATTCCATCAGAAATTCGAAGTTTACATGAAGAAGAACTGTTTAAGGTTAGAAAATGTTCGTGAAGAGCTGTTTTTTGTTCTTTTTGTTTTATTTGAGTTGTACACTGGTAACAAGCTTTAGAGATATGTGTTAAGTTTAGATAATCTGATCTATGTAAATTATAGAAATTATAGATAAAAATTAATTTCAAAATAGCATTTGTTTTATTTTTATAAGTTTAGATATACTGAAGAATTTAGAATTATATCAATTAATTTATTGAAGTACATTTGAATAAATAACATTCACAAAACCAAAAATTCAGCTCATACATCAAAAAAGTGAAAGAAAAACAAATGTTTTCAATTGCCTTAAGAAAACATCTTCAGGTTAAAAGAATTGATTTGGGAGTGGAATGATAAATTGAATTTTATAAATTAAAATATGAAAAGAACGATGTCTTATTAGCAGTCAGCAGTTGTGTGATTTCATTGGGATTTAAAAATACAGTAATACCCCGACTTACGCTACCCCGACTTACGCGAATCCGGAGTTACGCGATTTTCAAATCTCGTCGATTCGTCTTTTGTTTGAGCGCCACGCAACTCTTAATTACTCATTTCCCCCCACACTATTTTCGGCTTACATGTTCGGACGTGTTCGACATATAGCTACAATTTATTTTGTGTTATTTGTATGTATTTATATGCAAAATTATACCCCGACTTACGCGAATTCGACTTACGTGGTTATCGCTCGGTCCCACCTATCGCGTAAGTTCGGGGTATTACTGTATTNTATTTGGCAGTTTGCTTCAATCAGTACCTTTATTTTGTTTTCATTGCCTTCAACTGGCCATCCAGAGAACATGGTGCATCTTCAATATTGAAATTGCCAGAACGAAATTTTGTAAACCAGTTTTGGCACTGTCTTTCTCTCAACACATCATTTCCATGCATGTACCACAATTTTTTTCTTGCTTGAACAGCGTTTCGATTTTTTGGTAATAAAAAAGCAAAATATGCCAAAAGTGATGCTTTCGACCTTCCATATTTGATGGGATGCAAGAAATAAACAATTGCACAAAATTAAACAAAATTTTTTACAAATAAGCCTTAAAATGCTAGCTGTCAAAATATATAATGATATTGATAATACAGTTTAGAATGAAAATAGTGGGAAAAATACGACTAATCCCTCTAGTGGTAAAAAAAATGAACTTACTTTCTGAACAACCCAATAATTCAGCAAGTTTTGGTCCCATCTTTGATCCCCATACTAACCCCATCGGTTTGTCTATAAAAATTATCATATACTTCAAAATAATTTCTTTTATATGTTAATAGTGATATATTGAAAAAAAACAGGTGTAGTCTATAAAATCAACTGTAATTGCCAAAAATCCAAAAAATTACATAGGTGAAACAGGACGAGCTTTAGAAATACGGATCAAAGAACATGAAGCAGCCATTAGATTAAAATATAACAACTCCCCTTGGTATAACCATATTAAAAATAGTAACTGTAATATTGATAGAAATAATATTAAAATTCTACATGTAGAGAAAAATATATATAAAAGAAAATTTAAAGAACATATTGAAATTGTAAAACATAGTAACAATAATCTTGTAAATATCTCTAATGGAATGCAAATTGAACAACAATGGTACAAAATTATAGAGGGCGTAACAATAAACCAGTGAACTGTTTGTAAAACCTAAACACCAAATGTTGTAAAAGTTATTGTGTATGGATTACCATTTGTGAATTTATACAACACATAACTAGTGTTTAATAGAATATTTTTCAAATGATATTGAAGAAAAAAACCTGTATGTATATTTTTTGTAAAAATTTGTTTTAAAACTTACTTATTACTGGGTTTATGATTGTATTTTTATTTTTTAGCAATATTTGCATTATATTACGTTTTACACACAGAACTATTGATTTAATAGAATATTTTCAAAAAATATAACAGAAAAAAAACCTGTATGTACATTTTTGTTAAAAAAATTTTTTTTAATTTTTAAAAAGGTTTTATATTACTTATTTGTAAATAGGTTTATGATTGTATTATTATTATTTATAGCGACATTGTTTAATCATATTATGGTTTACGCCAAGAAAAATAATTTCGTATGATAAATACAAGTACCGTATGAATGTAACTCGGGAAAAAGAAGTGTGTAAAGTTCTTACAGGTACTGGTAATAATGTTTCTGTTGTGTTATTTGGCATCTCTACTCATTTTAATTTTTAATTTGTATTTTTGTCAACTCAATATCTAATTGTAATTCTAGAGCACTGAAGAGGGACTGGAAAATGAAACCAGTTCGAAATGCATATGAATTGAAAATACAATAAAAGAGTTTATTGACCTGACTTGCTGTAAGATAGTCTACCGAGAGAAATATTTTCAGATTAAAGAGACAACCATTCACTGAACGAATATACAGCTACAATTAGTAAATTCATCAAATTGGCCTGTTTGCTGTTGTGTGAGCTCATATTTGAATACCTAAAACAAAGTTCTTGGAAACAATGAGAACTCCATGCAATAATTTTACTGTATATTGAGATATATTTTATTATAAATAATATGTTTATAAAATATTTTCTGTTATATTTATGTTCTCATGCTCAAATATTTTTCACTAATTGCTAATTATGACTTTTTAAAAAATTAACTGTTTTTGAATAAATTGCTATAGTATTAAATTTCTAATGTATCATTTATTTAAAGATTAGTCATCATACTTCTTCATCTTCTTTCTCTTTTAAATTACAGTAAAATAAAACATAAATATTCATTGTTTTATATATTACAGACGCTTATGTCCAGACATATCATTTTTTCAACAACCGACAGATTATCCTTGCATACAAATTGTAGAAAATACAGAAGTTGAATCATTTAGGGAAAGAGTAAAGCAAACTGCATTAAGTTCTGCAAATGTTATTCGCAGTAGAGCTGGAATTACAAATGTAAGCATTCTTAATGTGTAGTGTAAGCATTCTTAATGTGTAGTGCAATAGGTTTTTATAAAATAATATAATTAATAAAATTAATGATTTTATTTTTATAACAGTACTTTTATTGAGATCTTATAAATGCTTTGATGGATATCATTTTATTAGAAACTTTAAAAGAAATGCCAGTTTATTTCAAACACAAATTTTTAGTGATCTTTTCTGTTTAATTTTACATTTTTGTATATTTTTTAACTTAATTGAAATTTTAAAATAGAAGATTCTATATTCAAATACATATGTATCTCAAAAATGAGATATTTACAATTAAATTAAAATAAACTTAATAATTATATTTTTTTTTAAATGTAGAAACATCTTTTACTTTTATTATTAAATGTAAAATTTGATTTTAAAAATGATTTGCAATACATTGTAATTTTGTTTCAGTTAGAATTATAAATTTTTCAAAATTGAATTTTATTAATATGTTAATTTCTATTAATTATATTAATAGAATTAATAGAAAATAAAAGAATTAATAGAATTCTATTAATAGAATTAATTACTTATTAATAGCAATTAATAGTTAATTGCTATTAATTCGTAACCTATTTTGAAATGATATTTTAAAATTGACTGTTTATGATTAATCATTTAACTTCAGATTTCACTTTCTAAAAAAAGAGCACATGATGAATATCAGTATTTGCCTCAAGGCCAAGAAGCACATTGGGAGGTGGTAGAACGAATATTATTTCTCTATGCAAAATTAAATCCAGGTCAAAGTTATGTTCAGGTATTAAATTTTGTGATATATTTTTTTTGCACAAAAAGTTCAAATATTTAAAAAGTAGTTACAATATATTTTTTAAAATTTTCAAATGTTTAGACTTTTAAATTTTATTTCAATATAAACTTAATTAACCATTTGTTCATTAATTGAACTCCATTGCTTCTGTTAAATTTTACATAAAAATGCTTTATATGTTGATCTGGACTTTAGTTAAATTTATATATACGTAATATTTTTCATGTTTTAATTTTAAACTTAACACTTACAACAAATTTTTTGTTGCTGTAAATTAAACTGAAAGATGTTTGATTTTAAATTTAATATTTGAAATTCAATTAATAATACAAAATAAAAATGAAAATATTATCTTTTACATTCTAAATGTTTTTTAATTTAATAATTTGTCTTTAATAAGTTATTTTAATAATCTGAACTTATAAAATTATTTTAATAAATTATGAAAATTATTCATTTTAATAATTTATTTTCACATGAGTTAAACTCTCTAAACATTTAAGTTGTTTTTAAAATTTTATAATAAAATTATCTTTTAAAACTAGTATTATTTAACTATTAATTATTTTTAAAACATTTTTTCTAGTTTTTCCTTATCCTCTCTCTCTCTCTCTCTCTCTCTTCTTCTTCTTTCTTCTTCTTCTGAAATATTCTACTGATGTAAATAATCAAATGACTCAACCTGTTTTGAAATATTAATTGCAGGGAATGAATGAAATAATTGGACCAATTTATTATACATTTGCTTCCGATCTTAATCCTGAATGGAGTAGTAAGAATCTTGAAAATCTCTTATAGATATTAAATATTAAAAGAAATTTTTTGTGATTTTAAATAATTTTTTCAGGGTATGCTGAAGCTGATTGTTTCTTCTGTTTTACTAACCTTATGTCTGAAATTAGAGATTTTTTCATTAAATCTCTAGATGAGTCTTCTAGTGGAATTGGTTCAATGATGAATCGACTAATGAATATGTTAAATCACTATGATTATGATGTATGGTTTCGTTTACAAGAATTAGAATTAATGCCGCAATATTATAGTTTCAGATGGATAACACTTTTATTCTGAAGAGGGACTGGAAAATGAAACCAGTTCGAAATGCATATGAATTGAAAATACAATAAAAGAGTTTATTGACCTGACTTGCTGTAAGATAGTCTACCGAGAGAAATATTTTCAGATTAAAGAGACAACCATTCACTGAACGAATATACAGCTACAATTAGTAAATTCATCAAATTGGCCTGTTTGCTGTTGTGTGAGCTCATATTTGAATACCTAAAACAAAGTTCTTGGAAACAATGAGAACTCCATGCAATAATTTTACTGTATATTGAGATATATTTTATTATAAATAATATGTTTATAAAATATTTTCTGTTATATTTATGTTCTCATGCTCAAATATTTTTCACTAATTGCTAATTATGACTTTTTAAAAAATTAACTGTTTTTGAATAAATTGCTATAGTATTAAATTTCTAATGTATCATTTATTTAAAGATTAGTCATCATACTTCTTCATCTTCTTTCTCTTTTAAATTACAGTAAAATAAAACATAAATATTCATTGTTTTATATATTACAGACGCTTATGTCCAGACATATCATTTTTTCAACAACCGACAGATTATCCTTGCATACAAATTGTAGAAAATACAGAAGTTGAATCATTTAGGGAAAGAGTAAAGCAAACTGCATTAAGTTCTGCAAATGTTATTCGCAGTAGAGCTGGAATTACAAATGTAAGCATTCTTAATGTGTAGTGTAAGCATTCTTAATGTGTAGTGCAATAGGTTTTTATAAAATAATATAATTAATAAAATTAATGATTTTATTTTTATAACAGTACTTTTATTGAGATTTTATAAATGCTTTGATGGATATCATTTTATTAGAAACTTTAAAAGAAATGCCAGTTTATTTCAAACACAAATTTTTAGTGATCTTTTCTGTTTAATTTTACATTTTTGTATATTTTTTAACTTAATTGAAATTTTAAAATAGAAGATTCTATATTCAAATACATATGTATCTCAAAAATGAGATATTTACAATGAAATTAAAATAAACTTAATAATTATATTTTTTTTTAAATGTAGAAACATCTTTTACTTTTATTATTAAATGTAAAATTTGATTTTAAAAATGATTTGCAATACATTGTAATTTTGTTTCAGTTAGAATTATAAATTTTTCAAAATTGAATTTTATTAATATGTTAATTTCTATTAATTATATTAATAGAATTAATAGAAAATAAAAGAATTAATAGAATTCTATTAATAGAATTAATTACTTATTAATAGCAATTAATAGTTAATTGCTATTAATTCGTAACCTATTTTGAAATGATATTTTAAAATTGACTGTTTATGATTAATCATTTAACTTCAGATTTCACTTTCTAAAAAAAGAGCACATGATGAATATCAGTATTTGCCTCAAGGCCAAGAAGCACATTGGGAGGTGGTAGAACGAATATTATTTCTCTATGCAAAATTAAATCCAGGTCAAAGTTATGTTCAGGTATTAAATTTTGTGATATATTTTTTTTGCACAAAAAGTTCAAATATTTAAAAAGTAGTTACAATATATTTTTTAAAATTTTCAAATGTTTAGACTTTTAAATTTTATTTCAATATAAACTAAATTAACCATTTGTTCATTAATTGAACTCCATTGCTTCTGTTAAATTTTACATAAAAATGCTTTATATGTTGATCTGGACTTTAGTTAAATTTATATATACGTAATATTTTTCATGTTTTAATTTTAAACTTAACACTTACAACAAATTTTTTGTTGCTGTAAATTAAACTGAAAGATGTTTGATTTTAAATTTAATATTTGAAATTCAATTAATAATACAAAATAAAAATGAAAATATTATCTTTTACATTCTAAATGTTTTTTAATTTAATAATTTGTCTTTAATAAGTTATTTTAATAATCTGAACTTATAAAATTATTTTAATAAATTATGAAAATTATTCATTTTAATAATTTATTTTCACATGAGTTAAACTCTCTAAACATTTAAGTTGTTTTTAAAATTTTATAATAAAATTATCTTTTAAAACTAGTATTATTTAACTATTAATTATTTTTAAAACATTTTTTCTAGTTTTTCCTTATCCTCTCTCTCTCTCTCTCTCTCTCTTCTTCTTCTTTCTTCTTCTTCTGAAATATTCTACTGATGTAAATAATCAAATGACTCAACCTGTTTTGAAATATTAATTGCAGGGAATGAATGAAATAATTGGACCAATTTATTATACATTTGCTTCCGATCTTAATCCTGAATGGAGTAGTAAGAATCTTGAAAATCTCTTATAGATATTAAATATTAAAAGAAATTTTTTGTGATTTTAAATAATTTTTTCAGGGTATGCTGAAGCTGATTGTTTCTTCTGTTTTACTAACCTTATGTCTGAAATTAGAGATTTTTTCATTAAATCTCTAGATGAGTCTTCTAGTGGAATTGGTTCAATGATGAATCGACTAATGAATATGTTAAATCACTATGATTATGATGTATGGTTTCGTTTACAAGAATTAGAATTAATGCCGCAATATTATAGTTTCAGATGGATAACACTTTTATTATCTCAGGAATTTCCTCTTCCAGGTATTTTCAGAAATATTAGTGCAAAAACAATTTGGTAAAAACTTTTTTTATTAATTTATAAATTAATATAGACTAGTGACTTTATGTTCAAACTTTTAATATTATTTTTAAAAAATTCATACAAAAAATGTGAGTAATACCAAATATATAAATTGTTAAAATATAAGCAGTACAATAATCTTTAAATAATTTCTCCCAGCGGTTCTAAATTATTTAAATTAATTAATTTATTTATAATAATTAATATTAATAAGAGATGGCGCCTAACGCTTACCTCTAGTGCCAAATTAATTACATAATTTATTTAGTAATTAGCCTTAAAACTAGCCCGATGGATTTACGGCATATGTTTGGTGATTAAATGCACTTTTATTTGGTGTTTATTTAGAACAAGACCGGATATGGAAACTATAGGGACAGGAGGCCCCTATTAACTATATACAAACTTTTGATGCAAACTGGAAGTCACGTTATTTCAATTCAATAATTTTCCCATAAGGTGTTAAATGACTGGCATGACTATTATTAAAAGTATGATATTACTATATGATTTAATGTATCCTCCAGTGCTAAACAATATGATAGCATTCTCTGGAATTTGCCTTTTCAGATATAATCAAATATCAGCATAAAATTTTTTCTAAGTGATGTATCTTTAAGTTTCTAAACTCGAGATTTTAATTCTTAAATTTTTAGATTTTTTTATTATCTTGAGGCATAGAATTTATAGATTTAACAATAAATTAAGCATGAAAAAATAAACTATACCTTATGACCATCAATACATTCAGGACATCTTTGCTTGCATGCTCCCATACAGATATTACAAGTTCCAACAGAAGCTGTATGAGGAACTTCAGTTGTTTGTACTGAATCGCTAAATTCCTTTTTTGGTTTCAATGGTATATCCCAAGGACCAGGTGCAATTCCATTCATAGGTGTATCTAATATTTCACCTGTAAAATTTTTCACAATTTACATTAGCTCAAAAAAATTCATCTATGATTTATGAAATAAAAATTTTTCTATTCAAAATTATTCATTGTGATACTTATTATCATAAGTAAAAGTGTAAAGATACAGGAGACAATATTAATTACAAATTAACTGTACACCATAACAATTATCTTATTAATTAAATATACAGTATAAGAACATATTACAATATCTCAACAATTACAATGTAAGTTTAGAACAAGATTAGCAACTAAAGTAATATTTAATCTACAGAAAAAAATATTTGCAGACTGTTAAAAATTACTTTTTAAGATTCATATGCATTTATCTGATCTAAACAGGTTAAATTTATATGATATAGGATTGACTTCCACCTATTTCTATATTTAAAAGTATTAACAAAGTCTTATATTTAGGTCTTAACAAAAGAATGATTTGACAGCAATGGAAAAATGATGGCAGGTGTGTATAGTTCAGTTAAGAATCTGGTGCAAACTACTCCAATAAAATACAAAATTACCTCTGAAATGAGACATCTTGATGTTGAAAAGTTGATAAATTTCTAATGATAGAAAACATTTTAGACGTTCTTTTAAGAATACTTTGTAGTCAATGAAAACATATTTCCTTGCAGAAATTATGTAAACTAATTTTAAAGTTATTAAAATTGCTTTATCTTTATCTATTTTAAGAAAACTATATGAATAAATTCTATATTTAGTAACAAGTAGTTTCAATAACATCCAGATATCTGTGAACAAAATAAAGTGTGGCCAAAAAGTTGCTTGCCAAATGGGAGTAATAACTTGTATAGTGCAAATGAGTCAGTAGATGTGTACAGTATATGTAGATTGTGACTTCCTTTAGAAAGTTATGTTCAGTGATGAGTCTATCTTTTTCTTGGATGGCCATGCTCATACACAAAATGTATGGTACTAGTCTCAAGAAAACCTCATTGGATGCACCAGTCCAACAATCTTGGTGCTCCAAGGATTATAGTATGGGCTGGTACAGAATTGTTTACAGTTCTTCACAACATTCCACAAGCAACTCTTGCAATGGTAACATGGGTATATGACAACCGAGTGATTCACAATGGGTGATAGTTAACTGGGCATCAGAAACTTAAAAAGTTTTGCATGCAAAGCAAGCATATCATTTGGCAGATATTATTTATTTTTATGTAAATATTTATAAAATATATATAAATATAAATATGGTTAAGACTTACAAAGGATGAGTTATAAGTTACAAACTATGAGTTATGAGTTATTTCCGACTTAGGAGAAGGAAATATTTTCAAATAATTTACTGTAGCATGATTAATTATTTTATGTCAGAACGGTTAACAAAGCACATCAAAGAAAAGCACTTCTTTACTTCTTTCAAGAACTTATAAATTAAAACAAAAAAGTATAAATTGTATTTAATGTATAATGTAATATATTTTTATTTTTATGTAACTGTCTTTGTTTTTATGTATAGTTGTTAATTTTGGGGTAGATATCAACTGTCCTTCGAGACTTTTCTATTTAGTTGTAAAAATAAGTAAATATGATTTTTAATGTGTATAAATATGTTTGTTAATTACAAAAATTGGTCTTTTAATTTTTTAAGAAACAATTAACTCACTTCTTAAAAATTATTATTTAAATTTACCAGATAGTATATTAATATAAAAGAATGGTGATTTTTATAAAGAAAACAAAAAATTTGTATTTTGTGTATTGTTTATCTCTTATTTTGTTGTACAGATGTCCGGCACCCTGTTAGCCCAGTGGACTGTCATCCAGTTGTCTGTCACCCAGTTGATGGTGTCCCTGGTAACACGTGAAGCTGTGCATTGTAAACAACACTTTATCTGAGTGTGTTGAAAACATTTTGAACATGAGTACTGATGACTGTTGTAGTGTAATGTACAAGAATTCCATACTCACACTAGTATCAACCTGGCTTTCACACAGACAGATAAATTATTAGTAATATGCCTAACTCGATTACTTGTATATTAGTATATTTCCAAGCATATATAATTTTTGTAAACCATGTATTTCCATTTTTTTACCGGATGCTTACCCCCTGGTGTTTAAAAACAAAAGTATTTTATCTGGGTTGTTTTATTGTCCTTGTGTATTGTCAGGAGTAAAGATAAATAGCAATAGGAAAAGCAAAGCTTTTGAATTGAATTCCAAATTGATATTCCACAATCACACGGAAGCCTGAAATAAGTTTTAATCCATTCCCATGTGCAAATGGATGATTATTCAGAAATCAGAATTTGGAAAAACTCATAAGTGTAATCAATGGAGAGTGGATTCAACTGTTAAGAATTGGCAAAAATGGTTCCCGATTGTCTGGCTTTACATGAACAAATTATGTCAATTTTTACAAGAATTTTCCTTACAGTTTAAAATGCCAGTAATTTTTGTGGGATAATGTATGCATTTGATATTTTATTTGTGATTAAATGAAATAAAATTAGAATTGTATTAATAAATATAATTTTCTTTATTTTGATCTTTAAAGTCACACCTCATCCTATATGTGAGATTGTCTTTTACATGTAAATTAATCTGGACTTTCTTGCCTACTCTGATAAATGTTTGGTGGTTCTTAAAAAGAAAAGCAAAAATTACCATTGTATGGAGTGTGTGCCCATGTTGTTTCACGACTTTCTCCAAATGTTTCTAATTTATACTAAAAAATAAAAACTAAAATAAATATATATAAAAAAATAAATAGTTAAAAATAATATATAAATATCAGTTCNCACAATTTTTTTCTTGCTTGAACAGCGTTTCGATTTTTTGGTAATAAAAAAGCAAAATATGCCAAAAGTGATGCTTTCGACCTTCCATATTTGATGGGATGCAAGAAATAAACAATTGCACAAAATTAAACAAAATTTTTTACAAATAAGCCTTAAAATGCTAGCTGTCAAAATATATAATGATATTGATAATACAGTTTAGAATGAAAATAGTGGGAAAAATACGACTAATCCCTCTAGTGGTAAAAAAAATGAACTTACTTTCTGAACAACCCAATAATTCAGCAAGTTTTGGTCCCATCTTTGATCCCCATACTAACCCCATCGGTTTGTCTATAAAAATTATCATATACTTCAAAATAATTTCTTTTATATGTTAATAGTGATATATTGAAAAAAAACAGGTGTAGTCTATAAAATCAACTGTAATTGCCAAAAATCCAAAAAATTACATAGGTGAAACAGGACGAGCTTTAGAAATACGGATCAAAGAACATGAAGCAGCCATTAGATTAAAATATAACAACTCCCCTTGGTATAACCATATTAAAAATAGTAACTGTAATATTGATAGAAATAATATTAAAATTCTACATGTAGAGAAAAATATATATAAAAGAAAATTTAAAGAACATATTGAAATTGTAAAACATAGTAACAATAATCTTGTAAATATCTCTAATGGAATGCAAATTGAACAACAATGGTACAAAATTATAGAGGGCGTAACAATAAACCAGTGAACTGTTTGTAAAACCTAAACACCAAATGTTGTAAAAGTTATTGTGTATGGATTACCATTTGTGAATTTATACAACACATAACTAGTGTTTAATAGAATATTTTTCAAATGATATTGAAGAAAAAAACCTGTATGTATATTTTTTGTAAAAATTTGTTTTAAAACTTACTTATTACTGGGTTTATGATTGTATTTTTATTTTTTAGCAATATTTGCATTATATTACGTTTTACACACAGAACTATTGATTTAATAGAATATTTTCAAAAAATATAACAGAAAAAAAACCTGTATGTACATTTTTGTTAAAAAAATTTTTTTTAATTTTTAAAAAGGTTTTATATTACTTATTTGTAAATAGGTTTATGATTGTATTATTATTATTTATAGCGACATTGTTTAATCATATTATGGTTTACGCCAAGAAAAATAATTTCGTATGATAAATACAAGTACCGTATGAATGTAACTCGGGAAAAAGAAGTGTGTAAAGTTCTTACAGGTACTGGTAATAATGTTTCTGTTGTGTTATTTGGCATCTCTACTCATTTTAATTTTTAATTTGTATTTTTGTCAACTCAATATCTAATTGTAATTCTAGAGCACTGAAGAGGGACTGGAAAATGAAACCAGTTCGAAATGCATATGAATTGAAAATACAATAAAAGAGTTTATTGACCTGACTTGCTGTAAGATAGTCTACCGAGAGAAATATTTTCAGATTAAAGAGACAACCATTCACTGAACGAATATACAGCTACAATTAGTAAATTCATCAAATTGGCCTGTTTGCTGTTGTGTGAGCTCATATTTGAATACCTAAAACAAAGTTCTTGGAAACAATGAGAACTCCATGCAATAATTTTACTGTATATTGAGATATATTTTATTATAAATAATATGTTTATAAAATATTTTCTGTTATATTTATGTTCTCATGCTCAAATATTTTTCACTAATTGCTAATTATGACTTTTTAAAAAATTAACTGTTTTTGAATAAATTGCTATAGTATTAAATTTCTAATGTATCATTTATTTAAAGATTAGTCATCATACTTCTTCATCTTCTTTCTCTTTTAAATTACAGTAAAATAAAACATAAATATTCATTGTTTTATATATTACAGACGCTTATGTCCAGACATATCATTTTTTCAACAACCGACAGATTATCCTTGCATACAAATTGTAGAAAATACAGAAGTTGAATCATTTAGGGAAAGAGTAAAGCAAACTGCATTAAGTTCTGCAAATGTTATTCGCAGTAGAGCTGGAATTACAAATGTAAGCATTCTTAATGTGTAGTGTAAGCATTCTTAATGTGTAGTGCAATAGGTTTTTATAAAATAATATAATTAATAAAATTAATGATTTTATTTTTATAACAGTACTTTTATTGAGATCTTATAAATGCTTTGATGGATATCATTTTATTAGAAACTTTAAAAGAAATGCCAGTTTATTTCAAACACAAATTTTTAGTGATCTTTTCTGTTTAATTTTACATTTTTGTATATTTTTTAACTTAATTGAAATTTTAAAATAGAAGATTCTATATTCAAATACATATGTATCTCAAAAATGAGATATTTACAATTAAATTAAAATAAACTTAATAATTATATTTTTTTTTAAATGTAGAAACATCTTTTACTTTTATTATTAAATGTAAAATTTGATTTTAAAAATGATTTGCAATACATTGTAATTTTGTTTCAGTTAGAATTATAAATTTTTCAAAATTGAATTTTATTAATATGTTAATTTCTATTAATTATATTAATAGAATTAATAGAAAATAAAAGAATTAATAGAATTCTATTAATAGAATTAATTACTTATTAATAGCAATTAATAGTTAATTGCTATTAATTCGTAACCTATTTTGAAATGATATTTTAAAATTGACTGTTTATGATTAATCATTTAACTTCAGATTTCACTTTCTAAAAAAAGAGCACATGATGAATATCAGTATTTGCCTCAAGGCCAAGAAGCACATTGGGAGGTGGTAGAACGAATATTATTTCTCTATGCAAAATTAAATCCAGGTCAAAGTTATGTTCAGGTATTAAATTTTGTGATATATTTTTTTTGCACAAAAAGTTCAAATATTTAAAAAGTAGTTACAATATATTTTTTAAAATTTTCAAATGTTTAGACTTTTAAATTTTATTTCAATATAAACTTAATTAACCATTTGTTCATTAATTGAACTCCATTGCTTCTGTTAAATTTTACATAAAAATGCTTTATATGTTGATCTGGACTTTAGTTAAATTTATATATACGTAATATTTTTCATGTTTTAATTTTAAACTTAACACTTACAACAAATTTTTTGTTGCTGTAAATTAAACTGAAAGATGTTTGATTTTAAATTTAATATTNACTTTAATATAAGTCATAAAATTCTAATAAAGATTTTAATCATTTTAGCCTTTAAATCCTAATCCAGAAAGTAAATGGAAAACATATTTTAAGGATAATGAAGTACTCTTACAGATTGATAAAGATGTTAGGTATGTAAATAATTTACAAAAAGTTATGAAAGAGCAATTTCAAAATCAAAACAAATATGAAATTTTTTATTATATATATTAAAAAATTTCATATATTTTAAAATTAATAAATAATTATTACCAAATTATAATCTGAGTATAAGTTTAAATATTAATACTCACACTGAACAACACTAGGGGGAATTAACGTTCGTGTCTAAAGCCTGTTACTGGTGTGCAACTCAAATAAAACAAAAAGAACTAAAAAAACAGCTCTTCACAAACGTTTTTGAACCTTAAACAGTTCTTCTTCATGTGAACTTCAAATTTCTGATGGAATGAGAGTAAATAAGAACACGATTTGAAATTCTAATATGTGTTTCTTGATGTCATCCTATTGGGCATGCACACTCCCACTGGTAGAAATTGTGGAGATTTACAAGTTAATGTCTATTAGTGCTAACCAGGCTATGAATAGAGTCAATTATTTTTAGTTGTTGATACACGTGTCAGTGAGGCTAGATCTGTAGATACAAATGGCCTCAAACCACCTTAGATGTTCAGTGCATAGTGAGGTGAGGATGACCTTCACCTGGTTAAAATCAGGCTCTATGTCTGGATCACTGGCATAAATGGTGAGAGTGGTGGTGGTCCTCACATGCTGAATGTCAGCGAGGTGCTCTTTCTTTCTAAACCCCAGGGAGTGCTTAGTGGATCTGATGTAGATGAGGTCTTTATCACATCTGTGATCTTTAAGTGGGATGCTGTACATTCCAGGAAGTCTGTCCCTGGGGGTTAGAAAGAAAGAGCACCTTGCTGACATACAGCATGCGAGGACCATCACCGCTCTCACCGTTTATGCCAGTGATCCAGACATAGAGACTGATTTTAACCAGGTGGTCATCCTCACCTCACCATGCACTGAACATCTAAGGTGGTTGGAGGTCATTTGTATCTACAGATCTAGCTTCACTGATACGTGTATCAACAACAAAGAAGAATTGACTCTGTTCATAGCTTGATTAGCGCTAATGGACATTGACTTATAAATCCACAATTTCTACCAGCGGGAGTGCACGTGCCCAATAGGATGACATCAAGAAACATGTATTCAAATTTTAAATCATATTCTTATTTACTCTCATTCCATCAGAAATTCGAAGTTTACATGAAGAAGAACTGTTTAAGGTTAGAAAATGTTCGTGAAGAGCTGTTTTTTGTTCTTTTTGTTTTATTTGAGTTGTACACTGGTAACAAGCTTTAGAGATATGTGTTAAGTTTAGATAATCTGATCTATGTAAATTATAGAAATTATAGATAAAAATTAATTTCAAAATAGCATTTGTTTTATTTTTATAAGTTTAGATATACTGAAGAATTTAGAATTATATCAATTAATTTATTGAAGTACATTTGAATAAATAACATTCACAAAACCAAAAATTCAGCTCATACATCAAAAAAGTGAAAGAAAAACAAATGTTTTCAATTGCCTTAAGAAAACATCTTCAGGTTAAAAGAATTGATTTGGGAGTGGAATGATAAATTGAATTTTATAAATTAAAATATGAAAAGAACGATGTCTTATTAGCAGTCAGCAGTTGTGTGATTTCATTGGGATTTAAAAATACAGTAATACCCCGACTTACGCTACCCCGACTTACGCGAATCCGGAGTTACGCGATTTTCAAATCTCGTCGATTCGTCTTTTGTTTGAGCGCCACGCAACTCTTAATTACTCATTTCCCCCCACACTATTTTCGGCTTACATGTTCGGACGTGTTCGACATATAGCTACAATTTATTTTGTGTTATTTGTATGTATTTATATGCAAAATTATACCCCGACTTACGCGAATTCGACTTACGCGGTTATCGCTCGGTCCCACCTATCGCGTAAGTTCGGGGTATTACTGTAT